TTTTGAATGGTAGTGAGTTTATTTATTTATTTATTTGTGTATGTGTGTGTATGTGTGTGTGGCCAGCTCAGCCCACCAGGGGGCGGGGCTGGCTGGCATGTGGTGCTGGGGGATTGAACCGCGGTCTCTGTGCTTTGTGAAGCTTGTTCTAAGTAGGTGCTTTAGACCACTGAGCCATCTCACCAGCCCAACATCAGGGTTATTAATAACTCACCCCACCGCCAACAGAATCAACTACTGCTTTCTCCTCTGGTATTTATAACACATCATTGCTAAATGAGTTTCCTTTCCTTGGCCTTTTTCTTTTATTCTCCTTTATTTTAATTTAATTATTATTATTATTATTTCTTTTTTTGCAGTATCGGGAATTGAACTCAGGACCCTGCACTTGCCAGGCAAACACTTACTCTACTGAGCTATCTCCCTGGCCCTTCTCCTTTATTTTTAAATTTTAAAAAAATCCTTGAAATAATCATTTTATACCTGGCTAACAAAATGCTAAAAATACATGTAGGTGCGTTCATAGTGAAAGGGACCATCACCTGTCCCTATGCTCCCAAAGCCTAGCCTCAAATCAAAGTCAGTATTTCACTCCTTTAGCTATTTTTTTTCCTGATAGCTTTCTTTACATCTCTACTACTTTGTGATTTAATGTTTGTTTGTTTATTTATTTATTTATTTATTTGGTATAGGTTCTCACTAAGCAGCGACTCACGGTGATCTTCCTGTCTCAGCCTCCTCCCCAGCACTGGGATTATAGGCATATGCTACCAAGGGGGCCAGGGCTGGCTCGGCATGGGGCTGGTGTGGCGTGTGGCCCTGGTGATTGAACCCTGGACCTTGCACTTGCTAGATAGGCACTTAGACTGCTGAGCTATCTCCCCAGCCCTACTCTGTGATTTACATAGGGAGCTATTCATAAGGCAGAAAGATGACCCTGCCACTTGCCCTGGTCTTGACAGTGCCTTTGGAATGAGGTCAGACTCCTTCACAGTGATAACATGCCTGCGTCTGCTGACCCTACTGCCACTGTTCAGGAATCTGTATGCAACTGAATGGAAAATGTTCTGCACCAAGAAGTCTGGAAGGCAACTTCTATCTATACTGGAGAATGCAGTCCAAATCAGCAGCACTGGCTTAGAATAAAATAGCAGCTTCTATGCACTGTGTAAGCAGGAAGTACAGAGTTGATAACAGGTTAGTCTATAATTGGTTACATATATTTGGTCACACGATGCCAGGCAGAGGTATCCTGGGCAAGTTTAATTAGGGGGAGCCATTCATCATGAGGCAGGAAGGTCTGGGAACAGTTAGGGTCTGGGTAAGCAGGTACATGGAGATGGAGTATGACCTTGACAGGACTAGTTTGCCCCCGGGGTAGAGAGGACTTGAAACAGGACATGTATGCAGCTGGTCAGGCAGTGCTGAGTCAAATTATCTCTGAGTTGCAGCTGGGTGGTTTAGTCAAGGCCAGCTGAGTCTGATGGTCCACTTATGAAGCTATATAGTTTTAAAATTCTTTCACTATGCCACCACTTGCTACATTTTTTTTTTTTTTAAAGTTGGGTTTTTTTGTTTTGTTTTGTTTTTTTTTTTGGTGGAACCAGGGATTGAATTCAAGCCCTTGCGGTTCTGGCAAGCGCATATTCCACTGAGCCATCTTCCCAGCCCCTACATTTTTTGATTTACTTTATTTTATTTTTTCCTTTGCCTGTGTGCATTCTCATTTTTCTATATCATTAGGATGGCATTTGTACTTGTGTAGTCCCTTCCTCCTGGGATGTGGCCTGGACCTTGGTGACTTGTTTCTAAGGACAGAATGTATCTAGTCTTTGCAGAAAGACTGATGTCTGCTTTGCCCATCTTTTCTTGCTTGTTCTAAGAGAAGCTAGCCGCTGTGTCACACGCTGCCCCAGGGGACTGCAAGACCTGACCACCCCAGCAAGAGCTCACAAAGAGCCAAATGCTGCCAACAGCTGCATGTGGGAAATCCTGCCAACAGCTGTGTGTGGTAGTCTTGAGAGGAACGCACCCCCCGCCAATTCTTTGGAGCAGGTACCACCCCTGACTACTACCTTGGCTGCACACCCCCCCCTCCCCGGTACTGGGGATTGAACTCAGGACCCTGCGCTTGCCAGGCTAGTGCTTATTCTACTGAGCTATCTCCCCGGCCCCAAGGCCGCACACTTCTGAGAAAACCAGTTCAGCCCCAAATCCTAACCCCAGAAACTGTGAGATAATATATATTTGTTGCCTTTTTTTTTTTTTTTTTTTTTTTGTATTTTTAGGGAAGGGTCTACAGGGTGTCCAGGGTCTCACTACTAGATTGGACTCCTAGTGATCCGCCTGTTTATAGCCTCCCAAGAGCTGGGATTACAGGCGTGGTGCCATGCCCAGTCTCTATTGCTATCTCAGTGTGCCCCAGGGCAGTCAATTGGCTTATTGGCAGAGAGAAGGCTATAATATTTATCTTTGAGTTTGCTAAATAGATAGAGTGGGTTTGTATGTGCAGAACACCTTAGCCTACTGTGTGACAAAACCTGCAATGTTTATGGATCACAGGGGGCATCAAGGGACCTGGATTCTGTACGGGGCTTAGCCACAGGCCTAGAGCGAGTTCTTAGCCTCTGTGAATCTCAGTGCCCTCCTCTATCAGAAGGAGAAAGCCCCACCTCCCAGGACTGTTGGTTGTCTTCTCTAAGAAACAACACCCCCGGAAGTGCGCAGCACACAGTGGGTCCCATGGCTCCTTCTTCATACTGAGAGCTGTTTTCAGCTGTAGCCATGGGGGTGGACGGCAGCCAGTGGTCAGGTCTAGACTGAGGCAAATCCAGACTCAGACTGGAAATAGTGTGTTAGTCAGGCCTCCCCATTACTGTACCAAACATCCAAGACAATCAACTTACAAACAAAAAAGGTTTATTTTGACCCATGGTTTTGGAGGTTTTAGTCCATGATCCATTGGCCCTGTTGTTTTGGATCTGTGGTAAGGTAGCCATCATGGTGGGCAGCAAAACCCACTCACTTCAGAGCCAGGAAAGGCAAGAGAGAAAGACAGGGACCCACAATCCCTGTCAAGGGCATGGTCCCAAAGATCTGAGGACCTCCAGTCAGGTCCCACCTCTGAAACCTTTCACCACCACCTAGTGGTGCCACAGGCTAAGGACCAAGCTTGTAATATGTAGCTTTTGGGGAACATTCCAGAGCCAATTCTAGCAAATAGGTACTGGCAGTAGGCCCAGCCTAAGGGTCTCCCATCCAGGATGACAGGGGCAGGAAGTTACAGGACTCAGCCACCACACCAAAAGGTACTGGGTCCCAAGGTGCCTGTTTCCTTCCCCAGCATAGAGTGTCCAAGTCTTTTTAAAAAGATAAATCACCCTGAAACCACAGAGACAAAGGGCAAAATGTGTTCTTTTGAATCAGGATGTTCTGTGATGTTTATAATCAGCAAAGTCACCCAGAACAGGACAGAACCCCAGATAGCTGTTGGGAAAGCAGGCCAGACTTGGGACTGTGAGGAAAATCACTTTTGCCCAGCTTTGGGAAGGTTGGGACCTATTTGGCAGGTGTCCCTAAGCTGGCACCTTTCCCAAGTTTTCCAGTGTCAGTCCCTCAAACACGTGTGGGAACCCAAGCCCTTCCAGGCTGTGGGACTTGTTCAGCCATCTTCTGCAGGTCCTCAGGCCCGAAGGATGCAGGCAGCAGCTCCTGGACTGTTCTGACCACATAAGAGCCGTCTGCCTTGGTCATGTACACGGCCCAGTCGGTACCAAACTGGAAGAGAGACAAAGCTAGCATGAGGCAGGGAGCATGGATGGGGAGTTAGAAGGGACCAGGGTTTGAGTCTGGCTTTACCACCTACTGTCTAGTGTCTCTTTCTATGTCTTGGTCTTCTCATCTGTAAAATGGGAATGACGATAATTGTACCTGGAGCTTGCAGGAGGAATAAATGAGAGAATGCTGTTAAGTACTTATCATGGTGCATAGCACATGGTGAATTGGTTGTAAATACTCCACTGAGGATTCACTAAAGCTTTGTGAAAACAGTACCTGGCCCTCGGAGCCACACTGCCCTCTGCATGAATACCTACTCTCCCTCTTGTTTCCCCCTTACTCTTCACACCAGCCTTGGACATGAGTGCTAGGTTCATGCCCATTTCACTGCTGAAGAAACCAGAGCTTACCAGGATGAAGTCAGGAAAGACGAGTATGTCTCCTGATCTTTTCTTACGATATGAGGAGTGCCACTGGCTTGCTGTGACCTTGGGCAAATGACAATTATTTGGGGCTCAGGGTCTTGATCTGTGATCTGGCTTTAAAAACAGAGGGACAAAGGGCCAGCCAGATAGCTCAGCAATTAAAAGTTCTGCTTAGGGAGACCTAAGGGCCAGGGGTTCAATCCCCAGCCTGCAGTGCCGGCCCTGCCCCAGGGCGTGCTTTGCAGCAAATGAGACTGGGCGTGGTGGCAAGCGCCTATAATTCCAGTGCTTGGGAGGGTGAAGAACAGGAAGGATCACTACAAGTTTGATCTGTGTAGTGAGACCCTGTATTAAATATATTAAAACACAAAAAATGGAGGGAAAACTAAACAAGTGGGTGGGTGGAGAGTTAAATCAGTGGGGGCAGTGCGGAGAGGCCTAGAGTTGGAACCAACAGACTCAGGCTCTACCTGGTTAGGTATGGTGAGCTTTAGGGATGGCTTGTGGGAAGCGTCTGTGTACAGACAGATACTGGCACATGGTAGGTGCACAGTCAATGGCAGCCACTCGGATCGTGTGAGGTACCAGGGACCGTTCTGGCCTGCAGGCTGTTGCTCTGCTGTGCTCTGCCTCAACCACCAAGTTTTTACCAGACACCATCAATCTTCTGGATTTTTCAGAATCTCTGTTTGAAGGGAGGGCATTTTTCTGCTTGGCAGGCTGGGCCTGAAGGTCTGAGCGAGAGCTGAGCGCTGGCGAGTTTCAGTGCCAGGTCTCCGGTCCCCAAGCCTCAGCTCTTATTATCTGCATTTTGTTTTCGCTTTGCCTCTCCCTCCTCCAGCTTTTCCATTGCCTACTCTTGTCTGCCAATATCTCATCGAGCAGTTGTTGGGCCAAGTTGGGCCCTTGGGAGCCGGGGACTTGGTGCTGTGTTGTGGCTTCCTGACGCTACCCTAGACACTGCTGCTGCGTGGGGCATCTGTGTCTGCCTCTCTAAAGTGAGACCAATTCTGTAGGCTGAGTCCAGTGCCTTTAGGGAGGTGCAGTTCATCTGGATCTGGGAAAAGTATCCTGCAGACTATTTAGCTTGCAGTCCTGGCACAAAGCAGGAAGAGGCAGAAATGTCGAAGCCTCCAGATGCCCTGAAGCCCTGAGGCAGGAACACAAAGCTGAAGCAATCTACCTTCCTTCAAACACAGCTCCAAAAGCTGGAGCTCTTAAGGAATAAGCAGCTGCCATACCACAAAGTCCTGCCCCATTTGCCTGTCATATCTTAGCTGATGCCTTAATGAATGGACACAGCTGTGCTCCAATAAAACTTTACTTACAAAAACAAGCAGCGAGCCCACTGCTGAGCTATGGTATCTCTGCTGCCTTCTCCCACTCAATACATTTTCCTACTGTTGCTCTCTTTACTTTCAGGAACTCTGCTGCTTGTTTATTTGGCTTCCTGTTTGTGCTCAGTACTGCACCAGACACTGAACTCTCAGAGGGCAGAGGGCAGGGCCTGGTCTGCCTGGTGCCCAGAGCTGGCTCTGTGCCTGATCCAATGACACTCACTCAGTAAGTATTGGCTGGAGGGAAGAGTTGTTTTCAGTGACATGCACAGGTTTGGGAAGGCCTTGGAATTGGCCGGTAGCGCAAACAGGACAGGGATTGCATCCCCTCCCTGGCTGCTGGGCTTCACTCCGGCAGCTTGGGGTACACATTTACCACCAAGCAACACGATGTTTACATTCCAGGAAGAACCAGAAGCTCTTACCTCTCTCATCACTTGCCGGCAGGCCCCACATGGTGAGATGAAGTCATCTTGCAAGTCACTGGGGAAGCAGAGAACAGAAGTTAGATGACTCTGTCCTAAGGCACCAGGAAATTAAGATTTGGGGGTTGGGTCTCAGCCCAGTCAAACAGTTCATAGTCCACAGATACCCTGGGAAGAAGGTGACCTGGTGGCTTTCTACGCATCACAAAGTGAGGGCCTTCTGTGAGGGAGAACTTACTGCTACCCACGCTCTGGTGTTAAGGAAAAACTATCTCTGTTTTTTTTTTTTTTTTCTTTCTTTTCTTTTTCTCTTTTTCTCTTTCTTTCTTTCTTTCTTTTTTTTTTTTGGTCTTTTTGAGACAGGATCTCATTATGCAATTCAGGTTGGCCTTAAGCTCACTTTTGTAGCCCAGGCTGGTCTTCAACTCACCAGGATCCTCCTGCCTCTGCCTTGCAAGGGCTGGGATTACAGGCATGTGCCACCACGCCCGGCCTCATATCTCTGGTTTTCAAGAGATGGCTGTACCCAGCTTATGATACTGAACCCTGGGTGAATCATTATATTAAATAAAATGCAGGAAGATCACATAGTACAAGAGGGACAAGTCTTGTCACCAGAGTAAGAGGGAATATTTTATAGAGGAGGTAGCATTTGGCCCTGTCCTTGGAAGAAAAATAAAGCTCATCCATTGCCATTTAGTGAGCAACTGCTATGCCACATACTTGATGTTCATTATTTCATTTCATTTTCAGGGCGGGCTGAGTATCAGAATGGTCTTTTTATGCAAATAAGTTGAGTGAGGAGAAGGAACAGAGATGCTGTTCAGAAGCCCAGCGTTTGTCTGTGCTGTGGGCAAAGGAAACAAATAGTGTGTGTGTGTGTGTGTGTGTGTGTGTGTGCATGTGCACACACAAAGGCCCTGCATGTGAATCAAAGAAAGTTTGGTTCCTTGCATCTGAGAAAGCAGAAGAGGTGCTCACAGCTAGGAGAGGACTCAGGCAGCCACAGGCAGCCCTCCGGCTCGACGGGGACTGAGGTGGATGGCTGAAGAAGGTAGGTTTTTCCATACAAGCCTCCATTCCTACTGTGGAGCCAGAGGTTTAGTGGTAGCCCCCATCGTCTTTGCCCTTCTGGACCCAGAGCTCTGCGAGACCTCGGGATCTGCACATGATTTAAATTTGAACTTTTGGTTGGCTTTTCATCTTGCTAACTATGTGTGACTTAGTGACTTTAACCCACCCAAGGCTCATTTCTTTGTCTGTAAAAGTGGGTAATAACATCATCTACTTTGTTGGAATGCAAGAGGACAAACACAATGAGATAAGGCGTCTGAAAGGCTCTGAGGCCTTTAGAATGCTAGACACATGTTGGTATCATCTGTGCTATTTGCTGGACATCTATTTCCTTACACAACACACACAAGCTCTGATGTGATTTCAGTCCTCTATCACACACAGTTTGTTATATACCATGTGCTGTATGTATCGTAGTTAATTTTGCTACAGATGAACAACAGTTGTTAATTGTTGTATCATTATGTGTCTGGAATATGCCAAGCATTCTGGAAGAGCAATTTATATGCATCATCTCATTGCATTTGGGGAGTATTATGTACCAAGCACTGTCCCTGGTGCTGGGAAAATAGCAGTGAATAAAACTCAGGAAATTCATTGTGCCCAGGAGTTCATAGGCTTGTCAGAGGGGCCAGATAACCAGCCAACTCATCAACCAATTGACTTAAGTCACTGACCCAACAACCAACCAACTAACCAACCAACCAATCAACCAACCAGCAGTGCATTAAATAGAGACAGGCATAGACGCTATGACAGAACAAAGTAGCACAGGAGACTAAGCATAAAGGGATACCATTTCAGCTTTTATGTGTGGGAGCCTTGCCAAAGAGTGGTTCGGCCCTATGGAAAGGTGGGGTTCTCTCTGAGCATGCTTTCAGCTAAAGAAGAAAAGCCCATGGAAACATGAGTGAGTGGGACCCTCACAATTACTGGGTGACAGCTGTGGCAGCCATAGCCCTTTGGAAGTTGGAAGGTACGTTTTCCTCCATCCTACCCATGTTGACCAAGGGCCTGCCCTAAGACTGCCTTGGGGGGAGAAAACAAATCAATGAAGAGTCCCTGTCTTTAGGCCTTCGCTTGCTGCAGGGGAGGACAGCATAGAAGTGTTCTAATAAAGGCTGCCTTGGCAGAGGGGATCTGAGTGAAACTCAGCCTCCCTTCCTTGACTTGTAGGGCCTGTATGATCTGGTTCCTGCACAGCCTGATCCTTTCTCAGTTTGTGGCTTCTATGTCCAGCTACCCAATGCACAGCTGTTTGGACAAGGTGACTTGTACTGGAGTTTTTGAGGTGAACAGTCATGCATGCTACCAGGAAGTTGGGTTTAGCCTGGGGTTCAGCTATCAAAAGTCACAAGATGGTGCATGCAAGCAGCACAGCTCTGAGAAGAATAATGGCTCATGCACACATTGAACTGCTATGTACCAGGTGCTGTGGCAGGGCCTTCTGAACATTAGCTCATTTAATCCCTGACAGCCCTGTAAAGTATGAAAGGCACACAGGTTTTATCATGCACATGTTCTGGGTACTGAAAGGTGAAGCAATTTGCCCACAGTCACAGAGCCAGTAAGTGGCAGAACCAGGATCTGAACCCAGAAGCTGTTCTCTGCCTTTAGTATTTTGCTTGCAGTGACTTTAAAGACAACCTCTGATAAGACCCTGAATAGATCAATGACTAGATTACACTGTTTCGTTTCATGGACACAAAGTCATGCTCAGAGACTCAAGCACATGCCTGAGGTTGATAGTAGAGCAGGATTTGAAACCTTGGAGCCTGGGCTTGTAACCATTGGCCGACACTCCTGCCAAGTGTAAATTTCAGAGCCAGAAGGAGCTGGCTGCATCAGGATGTGGCTTCCATGCCTTCTTCTCCTCTCTGGCCCTTTACTCTGCCCCAGGGTGAGGCCTTTCACTGAATACTGAAGGCTTTCTGTGTTTTGTGCTGACTTGGTCACGTGCTGAGGTCATGTTTTCAGGCAGTGTCTCAGTTACTCTTTTCTACTTGCCGGGACAAAGTACCTGACACCCAAAATTAAGGAAGGAAAAGTTTCTTTAGCTCACAATTAGTGGAGGTCTCAGTCCATACTCAGCTGGCTCCAAGGCAGAGTGGCACATGGCAGAGAGCAGCCCTTCATGGCAGTGGAAAAGAGCAAAGAGCAGAGGGTGGAGTAGCAGCTACAGCAGCTGAGGCAAGCCTCTCTCCCCACCTCACACTGTCATGCAGATTACTCACCCTAGGGCAGGAATAGCACTCATGTTCATAATCCCTGGATTGCCTCATGAATTAATCACAAACTCTAAAAACCACCCAGCGACTACATGAGGCTTTGGGGGACAACTAGACACAAACCATAACAGGCAGAAAACCCATTGACTCTGCTGAGCGAATCTGGGACCCAGGGCAGACTCATCCCCACAAGCCAAGTCCACCCTGGCTCTGCAGACACCTGAGTCTACCCTGGGTACAGTCTCTATCCTTCACCATAGCAGAGGGGATTTCTGGCTATGCAGCCCTGTCCAGTGTTGACAAGGCAGTTGACATTTCCTACTCATCCCCTAAATCTCTGCTCTGTTTAACAAACCATTAATATGATAATGACTGGGCTTCTGGCTCATGATGCGGGTGCAGGCTGAATACCCAGAGGAGAACAGTTGGATGTTGAGGAAAATACAGGCTTCATGTCATTGAGGATGTTTGCTGATCATTGTTGGCAATACTTGATCATGTTGAAAAGCAGATAATGACCAAGAGAAAAAGCCTATCACCTACACAATTCTAACAAAGCCAGGCTACTGTGCCATTATCCTTTTGTTGACTTTGGTCTCTCCCCAGAATATCATTATTTTTTTGGATCAGCTTTGAAATTGAGTTATTTCTCCCCTCTTCTCATAAAGTGCAACTCACATCCCGATCTCTGCTCATCTGCACAAAATGTTCCCAGCACAGATTCATTTATTCTCCATAGCTGAAGGGAAGCCAGAACAGAGATTGGGCCCAAGGTGGCTCTCAGGAGCTGGGGGCTTTCGCCATTGGCACGCCTTTGGCACTGGTCACTCAGAAATAACCCTTGAATAAATTGAAACACCTCAGGGATAGACTGCTGCTGAGTTCAGGGTCTTAGAAAAACTCGAGGGCTTGGCATTGCTCTAAGCCTCTGCACTTCTGCAGGAAGGTGGTGTAACTCTGGCCCAGGAAAGCAGGAATTCACTCACAGCATGTGATGCAGGTGGCCAAATACCCCAAAGACGGACCCCTGGTCACCCAATAATCCCTTTGAAGGTGAGTTAAACATTTATGTCATTTCCCCTCTAATTGTTAGCTCAGAACAATACCTCATAGATAATTCATAGGTGCACACAGAAGGAACTCACCATTGAAAAATCAAATGAGGGGCTGGAGAGATGGCTCAGTGGTCTAAAGCACCTACTTGGAACAAGCTCGGCAAAGCACAGGGACCGCGGTTCGATCCTCTAGCACCACATGCCAGCCAGCCGCGCCCCCTGGTGGGCTGAGCTGGCCACACACACACAGTAAATAAATGTTAAAAAAAAAAAAAAAGAAAGAAAGAAAAATCAAATGAAGTGTGTGGTGGTGCATGCCTGTTTTCCCAGTGCTCTGGCAGGCTGAAGGAGGAGGGTGGCTAGTTCAAGCCCAGCCTGGGCAACTTAGTGACTTAGCAAGACCCTGTCTTTAAAAAAAAGGGCTGGAAATGTAGCTCAGTGCAAAGGCTCTGGATTCAATCCCCAGTACTGCAATCATTGATTGATCCATCTATCCATCCATCCATCCATCCATCCATCCATCAATGAAATTGATGGGTTGGTGGAGGTCCAAGTTAGAAAAAGTTTATTTATGCATTTCAATCTTGAAGTCACTGAGTATGGAATCAGTGCCGTCAAGAATGCAGTGTGATCCTCTTGGGGGAAGCCAATGAGAACTAGGGTATTTATATCTGGGGCACAAAGAGAACTGGCTGGGGTTTTTGCTCATGCAGATGCAGGGCAGGAGCTTGATTAGTCTGAACTAACTGTTGATCACATGGGTTGTCTTTGTATCCTGATTCTATACCTTGAAATGAGTATTGATTTATGGGGGAGCTAGCAGAGCTGAACAGTTCATTCTGGACTCCGCATCAGCTCAAGGAACATGGGGAAGAGAACGTTTGGCATCTTGACGCAGCATGGCCCAGTGAAATAGGCCCTGAGTGAGACTCCAGGAACTGGGTTTGGCCCCAGTTCTGCTCCTAGCAAAGCTGTTCAACTTCTCTAGATCTCAGCTTTCTCAACTACAAAATGGGGGTAGCTGCAAGGGAGTCTGTTCCAGGGGACTTTCAGTTCACTCCAGCTATGGGTTTCTGTGCTGCCTTTCTGCTGTGTCTCCAGGGGGGTCTGTTGTACTTTGTTTTGTAGCAGGGACATACTGTACTTGTCCTTGTGTTAGAGTTGTCTTCCCTGTTTACCTACTCCATAAACTCTGAGTTGAGTGAGGGCAGAGTCTGTTTGCTGTTCATCTCTATCCTCAGCACTGAGCCCAGGGTCCTATACCATGGTCTCAGATACATATTTAAACCTTAAAGAGTTCTAGAAGAAACATTATAGGGGCCGGGGAGATGGCTCAGTGGAATAAGTGCTTCCCTGGCAAGCACAAGGGTCTGAGTTCAATCCCCAGTTCCGAAAAAAAAAAAAAAAAAAGAAGGAACATTACAACATCCTTTCCTGTATGGGGCTAATTGAGAAATCCTGGGCCGATGTCTCTCTAAGGACACTGTTATCTGCCTGGGTATAGGAGAGAGACTCCGAAGGCTGTGTGGAGGAGCCCAAGACTCCAACTGACAACCTAAGTTACAACCAGCCCTCAGAGTTTGTAAGTCAAGGGTCCACTGACCTGGCTCTGGCATATAGAAGTACATAGTAGACATGCATCTGATGACTGGATGGACGATTGGTGTATCGAGGATGTTGGTTGAAGCATTGTATATCATCACTGTGACTTGCCTGCCCCACTCACCTGGAGATAGCAATAGCCCTGAAGTCCTTGTGGCCTTCCGAGATGGCCTTGTGGATTGCAGTCCGTTCAGCACAGATGCCCAGTGAGTAGCAGGCATTTTCTACATTGCACCCTGAGGAGAGAGGAGAACCTTGTGGTCTGGCCACAAGAGCCACTTCCTGCTCTGTATGTTGTAAGAGACTTACCTCCCATTCCAAGGCAGGAAGGGACCTGAAGTGTTAGGAGACTCTTGGGCCACTGTTCTCAAGAATGCTCACTGTCTGCCTTTCCCCAACCTCTCCAGCATGTCTGGCCAACTCTAAGGCAGAAATAGTCCATGGAAGGGCTGCCACAGCAGAGGAAAGATGCCAATGGGGTGTGTTCCAAAATGCCCAGTAAGCTTGAGGGTCACAGACTGCTTGCCTATTATTTCCTTTCTTTCTGTCTTCCATAGACTGGAAGGTGATGGTAGAAGGGGTAGGACAGGTTTGGTTATGTGGTTTATGTTATAGGAATGGACACATGATAATGGAGAAGGAACTTGGAAGATAATAAACACATAGAACAGAATTGTCTATTTGCCCTGGACCAACTACTTTCCTTTGAATGTTGATGTAAGAGAAAACATAATTTCACTATACTTTGGGATCTTTTTTATTATAGCAGTTATAACCCCCACCTGGTGGAAGCTTTCTGTCCTTCCTTTTCCTAGGATTTTTTTTTTTTTTTAGCAGAACCAAGGATTGAACTCAGGCCCTTGTGCTTGCCAGGGAAGCACTTATTCCACTGAGCCATCTCCCCAGTCCCCTACCTTTTCCTGATGTGAGATTTTATTGCTGTTTTACTTTACTATTCTATCTTGTATATTGTGGTTGTGGGTGTAAAAAGGGGCAGATAATTATTTATTTATTTATTTATTTAGTATTTAGTACAAGGTCTACAGGATCTCACTATGTAGATTAGACTTGTAGTGATTCTCCTGTCTTCAACCTCCCAAGTGCTGGAATTAGAGGCGCACGCTACCCCACTCAGTCTCAATCACTGTCTCATCATGGCCTGGGGGTGGGGCCAGCACAAACCCTGGCCACTGTGCTCTGCCTTAACAGGCACTTTAGTCTGCTGAGCTATCTGGCTGCCCTCCCCCTTTTTTCCCCAGACAATTATTTAGTTTCTCGTCCCTTCACCAGCCATATCTCAACCCAAGCAAGAGGGCAATGAAACATTGTGAGACCCTGCTTCCAAGCTGGATATGGTGACTGGGTGGAACTCTGAGTTGCATTGTCTTATGGTTGAGATCTGAATTATGTTCTCCCAAAGTCATGCATTTGAGGTGGGGCTTTGGTGGAAGAGGTGAGTCACTGGGGGCATGACCTCGGAGAGTGTATTGTTGTTCTGGGCCCCTCCCCTCTTTATTTCTGCTTCCTGGCTGCATGAGGTGAGCAGCCTTTCTCTGCCATACCCTTCTACCATGCCATTGATACCTCAGAGCCAGCAGACATAAAGGGAAACCCTAATACCATGAGCCAAATTAGACCTCTCTTACTTCAAGTTGTGGGTATCAAGTATCTTGTCCCAATGATGGGAAAGCTGACTAACAAAGATTTTGGTACCAAAAGTGGGGTTATTTCCATGACTATCCCTGGCCATGTAGTTCAGAGGCCCCTGGAACTTGTTTAGAGGAGAAGTTTGGAAAAGTCTGGAGATGTGATCTAGTGAAGACTTAGAATACTATAAACAGAGATTGAGGAGAGAATCTGGTCAGAGCTCCAAAGGCTCTGCAGAATACTGATAAGAATGTGGAGCAAGTACAGGCCAGTCTCAGGAAGTTTCAGTTATGAATGAGGAATTAGGATTTACTTAAGAACTGGAAACTGGACCACTGGTCATTCATGTTACATTCTACCAAAGAATTTGTCTACATTTTGTCCATGTCCTAATACTTTTTGTGAGGATTACTTTATTTTTTTATTTTTTATTTTTTTATGGAACCGGGGATTTAACTCATGTCCTTGTGCTTGCCAGGGAAGCACTTATTCTACTGAGCCATCTTCCCAGCAAGGATGACTTTAAAGGTGGTGGACTAACTGATCTGGTGGAAGAAATTTCAAGGAGGCCCAATGTTTAGGTTGTGGCATGGGTCTGATGGTTACTTTTAGCCACAAATAGTGAGAATAAGAGGAAATAGTAGACCAGAAAGATGTGAAAAGTTGGGGCTGTGGAGATCATGGGTCCTGAAAAGATTAACATTGAAAACAAGTCAAGTACTTTGCATTGGAACAATAGGAAAGATGGTTAGAAGGCATCTCAGGAATTGGCCAGGCCCTTCCCTTTGCAAGTTTAAGAGTGTAAATGGATACACTCCTTTAAAAAGACTTTTCTTTTCTGAGAAGACAGCCCCAGGGTGCCCTGTTCATCCAGGACCACCTAGGGAACTGCTTCCTCAAGTTCAGCCATCCAGATATTCTGAGGTCACTGCAGCCATGATTCAAAGATGCCTGGAGCCAGCAGTAGGCCTTAGCATCATCCACGTGGTGCTGGTTTTCCAGGCTTGCAAAATCCAAGAGTTGGGGGATTGTAGAGGTTTACATCTAGAGTTCAGAAGAAGGCCTTGGAGGCCAGCCAAACATTGTGACAGGGACATAGTCTCCTTCATGAGACTCTGAGAGGGCAACACTTGAAGCTGTGAGAGGGAAGCCAAAGCTGCAATAGAGACATCAGGAAGGTGGAGCTGCAGGGATGTGGAATGTCTGTTGAGGAAAGCTGTGGGAAGTGGGTGGAGCTAGCCCAAGAGACAGGCCACGTGGACTGTAGCCTGCAATGCCACAGGGGTAGGGCAAGCCAAGCCCCACACATCTCACCAGAACCTCCCTTAGGTGCTGGACAAGGAGCTGCAAGATTTTTAATGTTTTCTCTGCTGGCTTTTAGTCTCACTACACACTGATCCCTTTCTATCCCCTTATTCCTATATTTTAGAACTGGAATAGTTACTCCTTGCCATTGTATGTTGGAAATATTTCATTTTCTTTTTGATTTTCACAAGAGCTCAGAGCTAAGTGTTTTTCCTTGAGTCTCAGAGGATATTTTGGACTTAAACGTTTTAGTTGCTGGAACTGTTAAGACTTTGGTAACTTCAAATAGACTGCAATCATTTTGCCTTATGAGATGGACATGAGCCTTCTCTGGGCCAAGGGTGAAATATTATGGTTTGCAATTAAAATCCTCCAACAAAAGTCATGAGCTTGGAGATGAGACCTGACTAGAAAAAGGGGGTCACTTAGGGACATGATCCAGAAGGGAGTATCCTCTCCCCTCTGTGTCACTGTCTGGCTGCCACACGGTGAGCAGCTTTCCTCTCCTGAGCTCTTCCATCAAGTCATTTCTGCCTTGAGGCCAGCTGACCATGGTCCCCCAATCTCCAAATTATGAGACAAAGTGAACTTCTCCTCCTTTAAGTGATAGGGAAGGCTGACTAATATACTTGCTTAGGAAAGTGCTAAGTGGTGTGCTGCGGGGGGAAAAGGACACACACAAACACCAGCCAAAGGGGCAAAGACCGTTACCTGTTCCTGCATCCACTCTCCCAGTAGGTTCCACCTGGCACCTGGCTACTCACCTGGAAACTACCTTTCCCAGCTTCCCTCGAAGCTCCCTTAACTTACAAAATTTTAGCCAATGGCATGTAAGCAAAAGTGATAGGCATGGTAAGCAACTTCTAGTGACTTTTAAAGGAGAATACTGCTTGCCTAACCCTTCATCTTTCCCTTTCTCAGGGACTGAGATAGGGATGGGACGACATGGTAGTTTGAACTCGCAGATAAAGGCACAAGTCAAGGGCTTGTGGGACATCTAGGCAGGGGTCCTGATCTCCAGAACAATCTTGCAGGGCAGAGCAGTGTGGCCCCCACACTCCGATTGCAGCCCACCTCTCACCTGCTGGAGAGGAGAGAGCCAGGCAGTTATCTTGTCCCATTAATGGATTTCCTCCGTTCACTCAGTCTATTCCTCACCTACGACACGCCCTAAATATGTTTCTAAATCTGAGTCTTCACTGCAATTAGGCAATATTTTGTTCCTCCTGTATTTATCAAATTTAGAAACTGATCATTACCTCCATATGTATTTTTCTATCCTGCGTACGTTGGCACAGTAAGAGTGGCTAAGTGTATCATTTAGGTTACAGTGCTCAGGACCACTTACTGTCTAGAGCCGATGGGTGTCACTCTGTCAAAGCCTACCCTCACTCTGGTGTAATTCACATTTTCTAGCACGTAATTCAGGTAAGGTTGGGTGCATTTAGGGTGACATGGCCAGAGACCCCAGCATGTAATCAAAATGGAAACTGTCAAGGGCTGGGCAAGTAGCTCAGTGGATTAAAGCTCCTGCAAGCAGGTGTAGGGGACGGGGGTTTGATCCCTCCACCTACTGTGCTGGCCCTGACCCCGGGGTGTGCTGAGATGGCAATCGAGCCTGGGCGTGGTGGTGTGCGCCTGTAATCCCAGCTCTTGGGAGGCTGTAAAGAAGAGGATCACTATGAGTCTGAATACCCTGTAAACCATTCCCTAAAATACAGAAAGAAAAAAAAAAAAAGGAAACTGTCATCCTTTATCCCCCCATAGCTTTGCTATTGGCTTAAGGCTACCTGACCAATCAGAGCTTTTCCCTGTATAGAACTGCAGTTCCTTTCTGAGAGGAAGCGTGGGTCGCCATGTTTCCATTCATTCTGGAGGAGACAAGTACAAACTGATGAAATGCAAGACAAGGACTGGAAAATGAGATGAGAGGTGGTGACCAAAAACCTAGTCAGAGGCACTCGCCCCCCAGGTCTGGCTCACTCCTGCATCTTTCATGGTATGGTTATATAATCCCTGTTTAATCATCCTTTTATCTAACATAATTCATGTGCTTTTCTACCATGTGTCATCACATAGAAATCAGCTAATCCAGTAAACTGGAGATGTAAGACAGAGAAATCAGGAAGGTGCCACCGTGAAGTGGTGGTTGATTCACTGAAAGGCTTTGTGTGAGTTACTGGGGCACTCAGAGAACACCGCAGGACAAAGGACGAACTGCTGAACCCTTAACTCTGTTACTCATTAAAAATGCAATTGCATTTTCTTTTTCCTTTTTTTTTTT